AAAGAATTCCTGGCTATCCTCGATGAGAGCAGGGCAGTGGCCAGGGCAGCCCTCCAAGCGGCCTCAGATGCAGCAGACTCTGCGGCCCAGACCATGGCTTTGGCCATTTCAATGAGGCGGGCATCCTGGTTGCAGTTGTCGGGCCTATTGACGGAGGTTCAACAATCCATCCAGGACCTACCATTCGATGGCCTGGCACTGTTTTCTGAGCAAATGGACAGTAAATTGCATGGCCTGAAAGACTTGAGGGCTACCTTGCGCTCCCTGGGCTGTACATGCCGGGGCCAGCAAGGAAGCGGTTTAAGCCGCAACAGCCCCACAGGTTCAGGAGCCTACCTCTGTCGGAGCCCTTCCACAATGAGGGCAAGAGCTATAAGCGCCGGCAAGGCCATCAGCTGGCATTCTCTGCTCGCTCAAGCTCCACCCGTAACCAACCGGGTAACAATCAGGCATTTTGAGGGTGCGCTCGGGGACGACCTTCCAGCCTGTGTCCTGGATCCTGCTCCCCTGTTATTTTCCAACCGCCTGTCCCCCTTCATCCCTGCCTGGGCCTTTATAACATCGGACCGGTGGGTCCTCAGCACAGTAGCAGGGGGATATACCCTCCAATTTATTTCTATCCCCTCCTCCCACCATCCTCCATGTCTCACTTCAGGGACCCTTCTCATGAGCATCCGCTCGCTCAGGAGGTGCAGGGCCTTCTGCGGGTGGGAGTTGTGGAGGAAGTCCCTCTGCATTTGAGAGGGAAAGGGTTTTACTCCCACTATTTTTAAATCCCAAAAGCCAACGGGGGTCTATGCCCCGTCCTCGACCTACGGAGCCTCAACAAGTACCTCAAGAAGTTGAAGTTCCGCATGTTCTCCTTGGCCTCCATCATTCCTTCCTGGGACTGGAACGCCACCCTTGATCTGAAGGACGCTTACTTTCACATATCGACATTCCACAGTCACAGATGGTTCCTACGTTTCGTAGTTGGGACCGCCCACTACCAATTCACAGTGCTCTTTTTTGGCCTAGCAACGATGCCAAGGGTGTTTATGAAATGCATGTTGGTGGTGGTGGCCTACCTCAGACATCGGAGTATCCAGATTTACCTGGACCTCGACAATTGTCTCATCAAGGGCCGCTCTAGGGTCATGGTCCAGCGCAGCATTGAGACGTTGTGAGCCACTTGTCAAGCTCTGGGCCTGCTGCTAAATGAACAAAAATCAACGTTAATCCCGGTCCAACAGATAGAGTTTATCGGAGCGGTTCTCAACTCTACCCGAGCCAGAGCATTTCTGCCAGAGGCCAGGTTCAAGGTAATGTCAGATCTGATTGCCAGCATCACCTCACATCTGCACACCACAGCCCGGGTCTGTCTCAGACTACTGGGTCACATGACAGCATGCACGTATGTTGTCTGCCATGCGAGACTCAGGCTGTGTCCCCTCCCGATGTGGGTGACATTGGTCTTCTCCCCAGCCAGACATCACCTAGATAAAGTCATCACAATCCCTTTGAGGGTACTTATCTCTCTGCAGTGGTGGTCCGACCCAATGTTGATGTTGGAAGGTGTGCTGTTCGAGAGCCCGCAACCCATGGATGCATCCGACCTCGGATGGGGAGCACATCTCAGTACACTGAGGGCTATGGTCTCGAGAGGAGCTTGCATTACATATAAACATCAGGGAACTCAGGGCCATCTCTCTGGCCTGTGGTGTCTTCCTTCCCCAACTGTCCTGTCGGGCGGTGCAGATATTGATGGATAACACGGCCTCCCATGTTCTATGTCAACAGGCAAGAGGGAGCACATTCATTGGCTCTTTGCCAGGAGACCTCCATCTGTGGGACTTGTACATTCAGCATGCAATCCACCCGGAAACCTCGCACCTCCCTGGCGTCCAGAACACGCTGGCAGATCGCCTCAGCAGGTCCATATTCTCTCATCATGAGTGGTTCCTCCACCCTGAGGTCGTCAGAGTGCTCTTCCAGAAGTGGCGAGTTCCCCGAGTGGACCTGTTTGCCACCAGACAGAACAGAAAGTGTGATCAGTTCTGCTCTCTCTAAGGCCTTGGCATAGGCTCGCTTTCCAATGCCTTTCTCCTGTCATGGTCAGGGGACCTGATGTACACCTTCCCGCCAATTCCCCTCATCAGCAAAACCCTCTCAAAAATCAAGAGGGATAAGGCATGAGTCATTATGATCGCCCCACCATGGCCTTGCCAGCATTGGTTTGGCATGCTCATGGACTGGCTGTGCCAGCCCTGTGGCCACTTCCCAGTTGCCCAGACCTACTCTTGCAGGCTATTGCCAGTACGCCATACCAGGGCTTGGGCGCGGGGCCCTCTTAGGCGCGGGGCCCAATTCAGGGGAATTGGTTGAATCGGCCTAAAGCCGACCCTGACTACACCTACAATGGAATGGACATGAGCAAGCACTCAAAGAAGAAAAGATGGTTACCTTTTCGTAACTGTTGTTCTTCAAGATGTGTTGCTCATGTCCATTCCATGACCCACCCTCTTTCCCCTCTGTCGGAGTTCTGGCAAGAAGGAACTCAGGGAGGTGGGAGCTGGTTGCGTCCCTCATACCGGTGCATACTCACACCAATCCAGAGGGTGCCAGAGCTGGTCCCCTACAGATATCACTGGCAAGCACACACATCTACAATGGAATGGACATGAACAACACATCTCAAAGAACAGTAGTTACGAAAGGGTAACCGTCTTTTTATGCTCCTGTAACCAAAATCAGATTCAGGCCCACCATCTCATAGTGTATAACTTTTAGGTACTGGCTTGTATGTTGTTGTACTTGGCTTTTACTGAACAGTGGACCTGCATATTTTTTATTTTTGTTTCCTTCACCCAAAGCCAGAAAGGTTTAAATTCAGGCTTCACCCAACATGATATTATTGAAATATCTAATGTTCAATTTCCTCTTAAATTCAGTTTGACTATTAATTTGTCCAGCTTTTTCTAGCAATAATCTGTGCTGGATGGTATATTGCCCAGTGTGTACAGTATGTATTTCTAAAGGGTCATGTTTGAGTTTGAAAGCAGTCATCAGTCAGTGAATATCAGATTTAGTTAAGTTAAAAAAATTCTGAATGTGACTGTCTTGGAATTGGGCCTTAAAAAAAAGTTAGATATCATCCATGAAATCCCCCATTGTCCAAGATGTGCATGATCACAATGTCCTACACTAAATGTTGCAAATAGAACCCAGCATATTGCAACAAGGTTAATTGTTTGATGCTTTGAATCAAACATTACATGCAAATTTAGAGGTGAAGGAGCTTTCAGTTCCTGAAACATGGCTCACTAGTAGATGAGGATACGATTGAGGATTTGAATGCATTTTATTGCATCAAGTTTAATTAGGAAGTAAAATGGACAATGAAATTCATATCCACAAACAAATTATAGTATATGGATCTCAGCTGGTGTAAATGTACATACTAGCTTCACTAAAGTCAATACAGCTTCATCAATTTACAGCACATGAGAATTCGGTCTTATGTGTCTATGAAAAATAATGCATTAAAAAGATCTTTTAATGGCATCTATGAATCACTCAATGTCCTTGGAGATTACAGCAGATTGAATCTTCCATTAGTGTCGTTTACAGTTATTTGAAAGGAAGCTAAGATACATATGGTGGTAAATGTGACTTCTGCGTTTATTAGAACTATCCAAATCCTCTATTAAATGAATCCTCACAGAGTGTTTTAGAAAAGTTGTCAAAACTCTGTTATTGTTATACTCTGTTATTGCCTGTTCTTCCAAAAGTTCTCAGAAACTGGATCACTATGTGGAAATTCTGCTTTATTAGTTAGTTCTCTTCTTGTGCTCAGATAACAATCTTTTAAATAAATACAGCAATGTTGTTATTTCTTGATATACTAAAACAAAATATAGTGTCTTGAGGAAAGGAAGCAGCTCAATACAATGTTTTGTAAAGTAATGAATCAACTGTGACTTACTTTTTAGGAATCTAATGCATTCATCCAAATATTAGTTTTATTTCCTACATGTGCAATCTCTTAAAAACAATTTTTGCTCCTGTAAAAATCCAAGCCTGAACTACCAATGACAATGTATTTGTAAATATACACCTCTACCTCGATATAACACTGTCCTCGGGAGCCAAAAAATCTTACTGCATTATAGGTGAAACCGCGTTATATTGAACTTGCTTTGATCCACCGGAGTGCGCAGCCCCGCCCCCCCGGAGCACTGCTTTACTGCATTATATCCGAATTCGTGTTATATCGGGTCACGTTATATCGGGGTAGAGGTGTACATCTATATTTTATTGTGCACTGCTCAAACTCATTTGGGCAGTGCCTTTGATATTTAATTTGCTGGGTAGCTTCTTACAACAATCTTGCTCTCTATCAACTATGATCTAGAGAATTTGCAGGGTGTTTTAAAAACACAGCAAATCCCAACTCTCTAGTCATTTCATTGTAGTACCTTTCCTGGATGTGTAATGGTGTTGTTTTACATAAAAGGCAGATGTAACAGAAGTGTGGCATGATAGATACAGTACATTCACAATCATGAAAAAGAACGTGTTAATGCATGTTAGGGGGATCAGCCAGCAGAGAAGTTGGAACTTTATTAATTGTTCCAAAATATGGACTTTTTTTTTTCTGGTAGGTTAAACTCTTGTCAGCTGTGATTGTGTCATTTTAAATTCTTACACAGATCAAGTATTTTGCATTGGTTTACTTTTACCTTCTTTGGAAAATCTAGTCAAGACTGTCAGAATAATAATATTAAATTGAATATATTTTCATAGGTAGCCAATGTTAAAAATGATACTGTAGGAAAGATGTGGTCATATAGGCCCTGGTCCTGCAAACGCTCATGCACACACACAACTTTATGGAAGTGAGTAGTCCAATGGAAGTCAAATCCATAAATGCTGACATGATTAGGACCAGAATTAGTAATAAATCAGAATGCAAATTATTTATTCACCGAAAGCATGAGTATTCACTTATTTTATTGCAGCAAAACCAGAGATTCTCACTTCGGACAGACTTAGCAATGGCATGCTCCAGTGTGTGGCAGCTGGCTTCCCTGCCCCTACAATAGATTGGCGTTTTTGTCCAGGAACTGAGCAGAGGTGAGTAATTTCCAGAATGTACCTTAAAAGTGACCTGACACACCTGATTTAAAATTCAAGCAATAAGATGTTGAAAGAAGATAGTCAAATACCTGTTCAAATGTTGCATTATTTCTGTAAGCATAGTCTTGATTGCTTTAGCAGCACACAGGTTTGTGCTGTTTGTTTGGTGTTTTTTTGTTTTGTTTTGTTCCTTGAAGGGAGGATACTCAGTGTATTTTACTGAGTAGACATTAAAGGCCAAATTGAGTTCTGCGGTAAGCCAACTGACTACAAAGGCTTCACACCTTTTTACCTGGGAGTGAATTTGGCCCTATTTGTGTAACTTCACAGAATGACAATTACAGAAGAGTTTCTGTATATGGCTATTATCTTTTGGAGTTATCATGTAATAACAATTTTCCAGGACACAATATAATGACATTTCCATGTATACACAGTAGATCACATGTTAAATGTGTCTGGAGTTATTATGAAAATAAATTGCTAAATTACCAGGTCTCTAAGAAGATGGAGGTAGAATATTTGTGAAACATATTGTAAAATGCTCCTCACTTCTTCTATCAGAGACATAGTACTAACAAATCACATATATCTCATTGGAATCATTTTTCTTATGCCTAAAATAGTCTGGTTTTTTAGTCTTCTTAAGGAAAATCTGTATTGTTTTATAACTTGTTACTGGTAATATTGCTAAAATTAGCATGCTTGCTTTTATATAGTAAAGATGTCAAATTTTAAACTTTACAATTGACTGGTCAAAAAAGAGTAAACATACTTTTTTGACCAATTCATAGGGTAGCTCTTAGAAAGAACAGCTTGTGAGGCAGTGCTGGGTATTTTGTTCTTTGATACATATGGTGCTGTACTAGGTTGGCCACGGATATATTTTTATCTTATTATAACACAATGTCTCTGAATAAGTTAACAGTGGGAGTTGAAACCAGGACCTAAGGATCTAATAGCCTGAGCTAAAGAGCCAGGTTCCATAGCTCAAAGGCTGCAGCAGATTCATAAACCTCTATCTGTGGAGTAGCCAGTAGAGTAGAACAGAGAGCCACATTGTGTAGGTATCAGTTAAGTTTTCATGGAGGATTTACATGTATAATTCTGCACACAGAGGAAAAAATATACTTCAGATCTGATAAGTAGAGTATAAAAAGCAAGTTCTTCAGCTCAGTCCTTCAATGGAGCTGTGTCAATTGCCACCAGCTGGGGCTGTAAATATCGAACTTTATCTTAGAAGAAAGTTGAAATAATGAAGAATTTACTCCAAGTATTTATCCATAAAGGGATAATTGTCAACAATGTTTCTCCCAGGTGTTTCGATTCACCAGCTATATCTCCTGTGGATGTGAAGATCTATTCTAGAAATTCATCCTTTCCATCATTTGGAAGGATAGTGGTTGAAAGTACCATTGATGCCAGCACGTTCAAAAACAATGGCACTATATCATGTGAGGCTTCCAATGATGTTGCCAGAAGTACTGCTTTTTTCAACTTTGCTGTTAAAGGTAGTGGCCAAAATGACATATAGAAATGTATAAAATGTAATTAAGATGATGGGATGTTTTAGCTCTGTGCATCACAAATAATTACAATAAGACCCATATTTTAAATACATTGTCTGTGTATTTGAAGCTTCTTTGGTACAGTGGTACAGTAATATATTAAGCTGCATTTTCTATCATACTTCTTAAATGTTTGACTGTTATAACCTAGTAGATGTTTAAAACTGAAATCTGTTAGCTTCCATTTTCTTCCATCATATCTGTAGTATGGTCTAGTGGCCAGAGCACCAGCCTGGGAGTCAGGAAAACTGTTTCTGCCACTGACCTGCTCAATAAAGTTCCCTCTCACACCTTTGTCTGTCCTGTTTATTTAAACTGTAATACAGTGGGGCCCTGAGCTTGGTTGGAGCCTCTAGGTGCCACTATAATAAAAATAATTAACAACAACAACAGACTGCAAACACACTGGTTAGAGGGTGCTAGTGAGTTTTGGCCTCCATAGCAGCATAAAAGAAATTGCAGAAATGTAAAAGTTGAAATGCCAAAATACTTATCAGTTGCAACCTGTATGTTGTTCTTTGTTGTTGTTTTTTTTTTTTTGCAAAAACTAAGGTTTCTGTGGTGTTCTTTTTCTATACTATATGCCATATATAATATACAAACAAAAATGGATCAGATTTGAGGCATATTGATCTTTACAAGATCATGCTACTGTCCAATTCTCTGCTTCCAAAGACTATGTTGTAAAGAGCATATTAATCAGTGGATAAGCTAAAAAATTGGGACTTTGAGAAAAGTTCTGTTAACAAACTTTTTCTTTAACTAATTTGACATGAATCCTGTTTTTAAAGCTAAAAATAATTGGCGAGAGCTGTCTTAATGGGCTAGCGATAGAACTGTGTGCTACCATGCAGAAATCCTGAGTTTAATTGGTCTTGGTTTTATGCTTCCTAGTTTGATGGGACTGGGAGTGCTGAAGAAATTAACTAAACTGCACAGTTTCCAGTGTGAAGACATGTCTCAAGGTGCCATCAGGCAACATCTTCTTACAGTTCTGTCCATTCAGCCTTGGGCCGGGGGGAGGGGAAAAAGGGAAAATCATCTGGGCTCCAGCAGAAACAAAGAGAATATTCCCTGAGGAAGAAAAACAATTAGGGGGATAAAGATTTGACATTTAATGATCCTTTAAATGTTGGGTTTCTTGTTCAAATTTAAACAGAACTTTCTGTCTCTTTCTAGAACATATCAGTACCCACACCCTCTTCACTCCTTTACTGATAGGGTTTGGAGTAGCAGCAGGACTGATGTGCATCGTAGTAATGATTCTTGTGTACAAATATCTACAGGTAAAATCAGATGCACACATTCATCTTAGTTCTTCTTGTTGAAGTTTTAGCAGTAAAATGGCCTTTTTTTCTTTTTTTCTCCCTAGAAACCCAAATATGAAGTTCAGTGGAAAGTCGTTGAAGAAATAAATGGAAACAACTATGTTTATATAGACCCAACACAACTTCCTTATGATCAGAAATGGGAGTTTCCTAGAAACCGATTGAGTTTTGGTTAGTTTAGGTTTATTTAACTTCATCTCCAATGTGAAATTTCCAATCCCTGTAATATGAGACCTTGTCATGAAAACATAGCATTTGCTATCAATAGTATATTGCATAGTAAAGTATATAATAATGACAACTGCTACTTTTGCATGCAGTTTGAGGAAGAAGTTTCCTGTCTTAAACTACTTCCATTTTCTTTGAGACGAATAAATAGGCTTAAATTGATCTAATAATCTACTACTGATTTTTTTTAATATAAAGCAAAAAGAACCACTGATAGGTAAAATTTTGTTACACCCATTAAAAGTTGTCTGGCAATTTTTAGGTAAAACTCTTGGTGCTGGAGCTTTTGGGAAAGTTGTGGAGGCTACTGCATATGGTCTGTTTAAATCTGATGCTGCAATGACAGTAGCAGTAAAAATGCTCAAACGTAAGTTTCTACTATGTACAATATTCTTTTTTCCAAACTTTCTATTGTATACTGAATTTGCTGAATGACATGTTTTTCATTCCAGCAAGTGCCCATTTAACAGAGAGAGAAGCCTTAATGTCTGAACTCAAAGTTTTGAGTTACCTTGGTAACCACATTAATATCGTGAATCTACTTGGAGCCTGCACTATTGGAGGTAAAGTTATGGGATTATTGGATTTTTGTAATTGCCTTATTGTAGAAGTAGAAACCTATTCCGTACAAATCTTGAATTGCTTAGTCATGATGAAATGTTTAACCTTTTCATGTAAGGCCTTTCTTCTAGACTTGAGACCATATTAAAAAATCCACACACAAACCCCCCCCCCAAAACCAGGGTAATTCTGGCTAGAAATGAAGATTAGTTTTTTGCTGACATGACCAAGCATAGTCCATTTCTGGACTCCATCGGATTGGCACATAAAACCGCTTCCTCTTAAGAGTTCACAAAATGGGCTGTCTATGTTTGTCATCCGCAACATCAGTTTCCAAAAATGAGAACAGATGTTAAAAGGGCATGATTAGTTTTGAGGGGAAAAAAACTGGGGGGAGGGAGTGGGGACCTGATAACAGCCTTTAAATATGTTAATGTCTGCTATAAAGAGAATGGGGATCAATTGTTCTCTATGTCCACTGAAGGTAAAATAAAAAATAACGGGTTTAATGTGCACCGAGGGAGATTCAGGTTAGATATTAGCAAGAACTTTTTTTGACTATAAGGGTAGTTAAGTTCTAAAATCGGCTTCCAAGGGAGATTGTGGAGTCCCCATCATTGGAGGCTTTTAAGAACAAGTTGGACAAACAACCTGTCAAGGATGGTCTAGGTTTTCTTGGTCCAGCCACAGAGCAGGGGGCTGGACTTGATGACTTCCTGAGGTCCTATTCAGCCCTACATTTCTATGATTCTATGGTTTTATGGGTTATTAGTGTCTGAACTGAGTTATTCATTACTATCTACTGTAGAACTGGTATGTTTATTATCTTGTACTGTCCTCAGATAATCCATTTAAACTGCAACAAACATTATTGGAATATTAGGGTTATTAATTCTAAATACTTATCAGTCAAAAAATGAAAAATTTAAAGTTCTCAAAGGAAGTAACTTTGTTTACATTACACATCCTGGACGTTTTGGTTTTATCTATTTAAGAACATAAACAGTAATGTTAACATGCACACATAACAAAATCCAACAAATAATTGAAGCTTATATAGAGTGATTTCTTAACTTTGGGGCATTTAAATTTGTAACCTGCATGTTATGCTAACATAAATGTTTGCACTTTTTAATTTCTCCATTTTACTTTTCAAAGGAAAAAAATCTTGGAAAAATTCAGAGTTTTAGCTTTATGCAAAACATTCCACCCTTTCACCTTTGCATAATTCAAAGAAATGACTGAAGGGATTTGGTTCAAATGAGCCACAAAGCAAATTCTATGGCCTGAATCAATGCATGGACTATTTCAGATAGAAAAGAGAATTTTATAAAGTATAAACTTATGAAAATATAGGGTTTGTAATAATCCTGATGTAATCTTAACCATAGTATTTGCTCTTATGAAAGCCATAATTATTAAACTAAAGAAAAGCTCTGAGGAGGTATTGGTACAGAATGATCCTACAAATGAAATAATGGGCAGCATTATTACATATTCAAGTGCCGTCGTTGCAGTCATTCATTTAGAAAACATACATATGATCTATAAACATCTGTGCTGTAGGTGACTTAATTCTCCTTTTAAATTTCATTTTAATATTTTAAGATCTAGTGTAACTTAGTTTTCTGTCTCAGCAGACTGTTCTATGTGAATGATTTTTCCCATTATACTGCAGAGTATAACACCCTACATTATTTAAAAACATAGCTGAAAGAACTCGAAGCTCTACTGTCAACAGAAGTGAATCAAAAGGATTAATGTTTGAAGCCTTACTCTAATGTTTGGAACAAATAACTTCCTTCAGGAAGTGAGCAAAATCATACAGATGTGTCTGGCCAGAAACATTATCACATGAAGAGGGGAAAAAAAGACTTATTTGTTTAATTTTTATACAATGTGATACTATTGATGGGGAAAAATTAATTGGGAATGACATAGCTTTAATTGCACAATAGTAACTAGTCCATGAATGAGGAAACTGCTGCTGTAACTTCACTATGACTTTTCATGTCTAGACAATGCTGTGTAGTGTGACTTCAAATAGGACATTTTGTGTGTTTAGTTGAATAATATTTTTGTATAAGATTTTTGACTCTGAAAGCAAAGCTTATACCCGCCTTTTAAACTCCCTCTGCATCTGTAGGCCCCACTCTGGTCATCACGGAATATTGCTGCTATGGTGATCTTTTGAATTTTCTGAGAAGGAAACGCGATTCATTTATTTGCCCAAAGCGTGACGAATATGCAGAAACAGCAGTTTACGAGAACCTTCTGCATCAAAAAGAGCCTGCATGGTAAGAATAATCTGTCAATACATAAAGGCATAGCCAGAAAGTTCAGAGGGAGGGTAAATCAAAGCTGATCTAGTGAAAAGAAATCACAAGAGGGCTTTTGTGTAGTGTTTTCTAAAGATTGCAGAAAATTAATTTAAAAAAAAATCAATTTAAAAAGATGATTTGATTTTTACAAGTAAGTTGTTTGTGGCTTGTTTAAGATTATAGTTCAAATTATTTCATGCACTTCTACTTTTACTGATTCAATGGCTTTTCTATAATTGAGTCCAGTGCCATTCCTTCGATCAAAAATGTCCATCTTTATTTTTAGTTATCATTACTGCTAATGATTGGCAGCAATCAGTTTGCAACGTAAATGACGATACAGCCAATGTTGTTGTGTTATAGCACTCTGTTACCATGAGTTCCTGCATTCGCAAATAGCTTTTTACAACAAAAATAATGCCTTTCAGTATTGCATTAAATAACACAAGATCTTGTGACAAAAGACCCTGTGCCACCATTTTGGAGTTAGGATTTCCCCAACCATTGCTCTTGCACTCTTTTTTCCCCTAGTGTTCATCCGCTTGTATATTATTAATTCAATTTAAGATACAGCCCATCTGTGCAAAGGTTCTTCTAATTCTCTCTTTTCTTTAAAGTACTGAAGACGTCATTTACCAAACCTTCACTTGTATAGCAATAAAGGACCCTCTCTATATTTCAGTCTGTACTGTGCAGCACTGAGCCCATTACTCTACTTTAGCAAACTGAAATTAAAAAGAATCCAATAGAGCTCTTAGTAGGAGCTAAAGCACTTTGCTACAGTAGGAAGTTATGTCCCTTTGGTGTTAAGGATGTATCTGCCACATCACCATTGTGCTGTAACACCTTCAAGAGAAGAATGGTCATGTTAGATCAGTACATGGACAGACAACACTGAAGAGACCACCTGTGTGTTTAAGGAAGTGGTTCTGGTGTTTCCATTTGAATCCCACCATGAGGTTATGACTCCTGCTGGAGGTGCCATCTTTCAAATATGATATAAAGCTGAGAATCTCATTATTTGAGTTTCACATAGAACTTTTTTGTAAAAGGTTGGATGGGGACTGTAGACTGTAGAGTCTTTACCAATTTGAGTATTGCTGTGTGCTGTTGAATTGCACCTGCATAACACCCCAGAGGGCTCTGCGCGTCAGTGGAGGGGTGAAGTGTTTAATTACCTCTCAGGTTTGTTGTGAGATCAAGCGTAATGTTTGCAACGTGATTAGATATTCTTGAATAAAAGGTGCTGTATATGAGCAAGGTAAAGTGAATTTGTGTCCATATAGTTCAAAAAGATACTAAATGGAAAAATATTCATCATTGTAAATCCCTAGGTATATATTTATAAACTATGTAATTAGAGTCCATACATTTGAATATGCATAGGGATGGGAAAACCTGTATTTTTTTAAAAATCAAATTCCCTCTAACTTATCCTGATTTCTGCAACCAAACTTGAACCTTTTTGGAAATTCTGATGTTCAGTTAACTTTTCTCCCCAGTTTTATCTTCTGAATTTCAACTGAAACTTGAATTACCAAATATATTGATAGAAGCTGTCCTGAATAGAAGGAAACATTAGAATGACATCAGAAATATCTAGCCATTTCTTTTCCAGACTAAACCTTAACTATTAAGAATTATAAACACCAATTTTTTGGGTGCTTATCTGAGCTAAACTCCAAACTTTGAGATCAGACCATTATTTATTCTATAATGCACATCCTTATAGCCTATTTTGTCAAATCTCATCACTCTGTATAGTATTTTTGTTTTCTTTTTAAAAATAATTAACACTCACAAACCTTATTTTTTTCCAGTGTTAATCGTTTGTAAAATTTTAGATTCAAATTTGTTCTTAATGTTTTTATGCTAAATTATCCACACAGTGATGTCATCAATGAATACATGGACATGAAACCAGGAGTCTCTTATGTTGTTCCACCAAAAGCAGATAAAAGAAGATCAGGGAGGACAGGCAAGTACTTATCCAGAAATCTAACCCACATCCTATAGTACAAAGAGGGCTTTCTGATTTCTTTTCAATTTTAAAATGATCTTTGCTGATGGATGTGTCTAATTAAAACCCTAATTCAATGTGACAAGGATTAAAAAAAAAAGAATAAACTCAGTTAAAAAGGCTTCATGTGTCTCTATGTTGTGAAAACATTGAGATGATTATTCTACCATTTTGGTAATGGATGTTATTATTAAAAGCAAGAGGAAAATCAAGGACATGGTAGGCCTTTTACTCAACGCGGGAGGGGGGAGGGGGAAATAACAGAAAATGTGGAAATGGCAGAAGTGCTAAATGACTTTGTTTCAGTTTTCATCAAAAAGTTTAGTAGCAATTCGACATCTAACATAGTAAATGTCAATGAAAATGAGGTAGGATCAGCAGCTAAAATAGGGAAACAACAACTTAAAAATTACTTAAACAAGTTAGATGTCTTCAAGTCACCAGGGCCTGATGGAATATGTCCTAGAACACTCAAGGAGCTGACAGAGGAGATATCTAAGGGCTGGTCTACACCCAGCCGCTAGTTCGGCGGCTGGGGATCGAAGTTCTGGGTTCGACTTATCGCGTCTGGTCTGGACGCGATAAGTCGAACCAGGAAGTGCTCGCCGTCGACTGCGGTACTCCAGCTCGGCGAGAGGAGTACCGCGGAGTCGACGGGGAGCCTGCCTGCCGTGTGTGGACCGCGTCTGAACCGCGGTAAGTTCGAACTAAGGTATGTCGACTTCAGCTACGTTATTCGTGTAGCTGAAGTTGCGTACCTTAGTTCGACTTCGGGGGTTAGTGTAGACCAGGCCTAAGTTATTAGCGATTATCTTTGAAAAGTCATGGAAGACTAGAAAGATTCCAGAGGACTGGAAAAGGGCAAATGTAGTGCCAATTTATAAAAAGGGGAATAAGGACAACCTGGGGAGCTACAGACCAGTCAGCATAACCTCAGTACCTGGAAAGATAATGGAGCAAATAATTAAGCAATCAACTTGCAAATGCCTAGAAGAATAATAAGGTGATAAGTAACAATCAGCATGGATTTGTCAAGGACTAACCATGTCAAACCATGGTTCTTTGACAGGGTAACAAGCCTTGTGGATGGGCAGAAGCAGTAGATGTGGTATATCTTGACTTTAGTAAGGCTTTTGATGCTGTCTCGCATGACCTTCTTACAAACAAGCTAGGGAAATACAACCTAGATGGTGCTACTATAAGGATGTGTGAATAACTGGTTGGAAAACCATTCCCAGAGAGTAGTTATCAGTGGTTCATAGTCAAGCTGGAAGGGCAAACCAAGTGGGTTTCCCACAGGGATCAGTTCTGGGTCTGATTCTGTTCAATATTTTCATCAATGATTTAGATAATGGCATAGAGTGTACACTTATAAAGTTTGTGGATGACACCAAGCTGGGAGGGGTTGCAAGTGCTTTGGAGGATAGGATTAAAATTCAAAATGATCTGGAAAAACTGGAGAAATGGTCTGACGTAAATAGGATGAAATTCAATAAGGACAAATGCAAAGTACTCCACTTGGGAAGGAACAATCAGTTGACACATACAAATGGGAAATGACTGCTTAGGAAGAAGTACTGCAGAAAGGGTTTTGGCTATCATAGTGGATCACAAGCTAGATATGAATTAACAGTATAACACTGTTGCAAAAAAAAAATCATTCTGGGGTGTATTAACAGGAGTGTTATAAGTAAGACATGAGAAGTAATTCTTCCATTTTACTGCATGCTGATTAGACCTCAACTGGAGTCCAGTTGTGTCCAGTTCTGGGTACCACATTTCAGGAAAGATGTGGACAAATTGGAGAAAGTCCAGAGAAGAGCAAACAAACATGATTAAAGGTCTAGAAAACATGACCTATGGGGGATGATTGAAAAAATTAGATTTGTTTAGTCAGGAGAAGAGAAGACTGAGGGGGGACATAACAGTTTTCAAGTACATAAAAGGTCATTACAAAGAGGAGGAAGACAAATTGTTCTCTTTAACCTCTGAGGATAGGACAAGGAGCAATGGGCGGTTTAGGTTGGACATTAGGAAAAACTTCCAAGCTGTCAGGGTAGTTAAGCACTGGAATAAATTGCCTAGGAAGATTGTGGACTCTCCCTCATTGGAGATTTTTAAGATCAAGTTTGACAAACACCTGTCAGGGATGGTCAGATAATACTTTGATAGTCCAGTCCCCTGCACTCAAGGCAGGGCTCTGGACTATCAGACCTCTTGAGGTCCCTTCCAGTCCTATGATTCTATGTATTTTGGCAAAGCTCCAAGCCTGTATTGGTGGGTCCCGTGCTTCCAGGTGGATTCAGTGGCCTCAGAAGCTCACTAAGGCCCTCAGTGTGACCTCCCTTTCTCAGTGTAGTGGCAAAGGTCACAGCTTATTGAGCTACTTTCATCACAGGCCAGTATGGAAGGTGGGAAGGTGGAATACCCACAGTCTCTGTTGCTTCTTAGAGCTCAGTAGGTGCAGTTCGGCCTCCTGCCTGGACCAAGGTCTGCTTCCCCTCTCAAGGGAATCTCTGTAGAGCATGGGGGGGAAAGGGGGAACCCGGGGCCACCCTTTACTCTGGGTTCCAGCCCAGGGGCTCTAATGGTAGCAGCTGTTGGCGGCTTCCCTTTCACCACCAGAGCTGCTTTGAATCCCTGGGCCACTTCCCCCATTATCCCCTTTTCCTAGCTTCACCCTTACTTCAGGATTCAGCAACACTTCCTCTCCTCCAGTTCCTTTCACCTGGGCTTCCTTGAGGGAACTGGAAGGAGAGCTTTTAAGCAGTATGAGTAGGACTTGATTAGTTCCAGCTGTCTCCATTAGCCTAAGAGCCTTAACTGACCCTTTGCTGGTTAATTGGTGTCAGGTGCCTGCATTAGCCTAATGACCTTAACTGGTTTAATTGGCGTCAGGTGACTTGATTGTCCTGGAGGAGCCTTTGTTTGGCTACCCAGGGAACAGAGACCTACTCATCCTAATGCTGATATACTCTTTGATACCTCATGGTCTAAGTCCGTCACAGTATGGATTGAGTTTCCTTATTTATTCAGCACCACATTCTGATAAATATAAGCCAAATATGTTTCCAGGCAATCATACTTAGTCCATTTATAAAGTGTTTGCATTTGTGTTGCTTAGGATCATATATGGATCGAGATGTTACCATTGCCATATTAGAAGATGACGAATTGGCTCTGGACGTTGAAGTTCTACTGAGTTTTTCTTATCAGGTGGCAAAGGGCATGAGCTTCCTTGCCTCCAAAAATGTAAGTTGTGAATTTGAGTGACAGGTTTTCTTAACATATTGACATTTTAAAACATGACTATTTCATCTGTTCAGTAATCTTTTAAACAAACACTGCAAATTAACAGGGTTCTGCTGTACCGTGAAGACTTGACTAGTCTATTCCTTTGTGTAACTCTAGTCCTGCATTTTACCAGCCTAGAATTTTGCACTGAAAAGTGCTAGTCTGCTCAGAATGAATTTTCCCTGGACTTTACTCGCATAAAGAAAAACCTCTAAGCTACCTCTGGGAGTACAATGCTCAAAAGGCAGCAGAATTGTTGCATTTCCACTGCTGAGGGCACTGGGAATTGGAGAGCTCCTTCAGTGCATGGAACAGAGCAATGCTATGGCTCTGTGCCCAGAAGTGGGAAGGGAGGGATAGGCTTGAGGAGCTGTAAGGGTGTATGCACCATATCCACAAACTCCACTGACTATGTGTGTATGGAGAAAGCAGGAGCAGCAGGTCCTTTTCTGTTGCTACTTCCCATGTCCTACAGTTGGGGTTGAGGATTTTAGTCTATAGCAGGGGTCGCCAAACTGCAGCTCTTTTACAATTAAAGTGTGGCTCATGGAGCTCCCCTATTCTCCACCTACCAGACTGGGGGGGAGTTCAGGGCTTCTGCCCTGTAACGGGGTGATGGGACTAGGGGCTTCTGCTCAGCGGGGGGGTGGGGGGGGAGTTTGGGGCTTCAGCCCTGCAGAGTGTACCTGCTGGAAATCAGGGCTTCAGCAGGAGTGGGGCTGAATCCCCAGGAGGCATGTCCTGTGGGGCTGAAGCCCTGAGCCCCAGCAGGCATGCCCCCTGGGGCTGACTCCCTGAGACCCCCCTCCACGCTGGGCAGAAGCCCCTAGCCCCACCACCCCACTCTAGGGAAGAAGCCCCGCTCCAACTGGCCTGCCTGGCTCTCGAACTTCTGAAGATTGTCGTAGTTCGGCTCAGAGGGACAGTAAGTTTGGCCACCCCTGGTCTATAGCCTTTGTCTCCTGGAGCACGCAGCCAGTCTAATAAAAGTTCCATCTGGTTTTTGGTGCCATCTGATCCCACACAAGCCCTGAAGACTTAATTTTTCAGGGACTTTATAGTGTGGAAACTAGATAGAATTTGTGAATGAATCTGATCTTCAAAGAAGGAGATCCCTCCAAAAAGAGAGTCAAATCATGAATGTTTTAGAAGGCTTATTCTCTGTGACATCCGTGAACAGTTGACAAACTGAAGAGCATTAGAAGACAGCTGAAGAGAGGTCTATGCACAAAATGTATGTATGTTCAGAATTAAACCCTGGTCAATCTGATACTTTTGAACCATAGAACACCTTCTTAAACAAGTGGATCATTACAGGATGGGTATTTTCAAGGTTTTGGTTTAACATATGGGATACTTTTTGTTTCCTACTGAAGTATCTTTGTAATTTTTTAAAAAACGTTAAAATCAACATAAAGACCCACAAATTGTTTTCATTTGGACACACTCAGTTTGCTCTGTGCTTTCTAAAGGTTTCATAGGAAAAATTATGGAATATCAGAAATTTAGAACTATTAATAATGTCCCTACAATTTGGCAATTAATATGAAAAAAGTAACAAAATCTAGGGACATTATGTTGTACAGTATACTTTGAATCCACTGAAAAAACAAATATATGTAATTTTAAACCCCCTACCCCACAAACAACACTACATTAAGTGTGGGATATTCAAAAGTATAAATGTTGGCCTAATTCAGCTCCTGTTGAAGTCAGTGATAAAACTTCAGTAGATGTGTAGAATGTTGAGTAGTATTTTTGAACATCCCACCCTAAAAGCACATTGCTTCACTTTGCAATCTGAATCAGCCTTAACTCCACCCCTTTGTGTGAACACGTTAGGATGTAACTTTTAATACTTTTCCATTGGACCCCTGCCTCATTCAGTACGCAGGATGGACAATGCTGAGTAAAAAAAGTAGCTGTTCATTATTTTTTTTATCCTCCTCATAGAGTGGCTCCCTGAACCATTCATTGTGCACCATCTCGAACCTTGCAATGAATGAGGAATATGTTTTCTTTCTTTATAGGCTTTTCTGCTACACTTATCACTGAGGTTGGGAAGTAGTAGTATACCAATTTTACAGTGCAGAGCTTTAGGCATGAGAGTGAGCCTGTGGAGAGGCAAGGATAAAATTCCGCTTTCTCCAATCAGAGCACAGTGCTTTAACCACAAGACCATTCTTTCTGGGCCAGTGGACCATACCAATTCTGTAGGAATGAGGGAGGGATGCTTTGAACCCCAGACCATTACATCACTTTACTGCATTAATGGGGCTACTCACATGCTTGAAGTTACACACATGCTTAAACACTTTGCTGCACTGGGGTGTGAATAAGGCAGGAGTCCCATGGGAAAAAATAGTACAGCAGCATGTAATTAAAGATAGTTTCATAATGCGTGCATCCAAGAGGGCAAGGTAAGGTTTCTCATGCAACCGTAAATTGTCAGTTCCTGACTTTTGATTGCTTCATTTTGCAATCTTAATGTTATTTTTAAGTAGCTTTTAGTATGAAATTTCCTACATTTTTTTAAAAGAGAAAAATAAAGAAATTTCACTCTTTTCAGCTATTTGCTAGACAGCTGTGTACTGCTCAGTACATACAGTCAATGAGACCGGAACCTTTCATGCATTCCATGCATTCCTTTCTGTATTGTATGGAAGAAGACAGAACTTTTAAGGAAGCAGGACTCTGCTTCTTCCAACTCTTAAATCCTTCTGCACACACCTGCGCATAGCATAGAGGAAGCGTCCTGCCTTCTTCCACACGACTGCTGGAGGTACATATGGAAAGAGGCATGACTCCTGCCAAACCCTTCCAGTTGCACCCTCCTATATCTCCATTACTTATGCACAGATATGCTTGTCACTGGAAGATAATTAGTTTTGTTATTTAACATAAGGCAGTGCCCATGCACAGAGTACATTATAAACAATATTTTAATTTGCCCAAATCCTGTCTGATTTTCACAGGACCAATGAAGGGCATATCTATGACCTAGTATATATAACATTTTCAAAATTGCCTAAGACCAATTTTCAAAATTGACATAGGCACTTAGTAGCCTAAGTCTTAAAGAAAGCCTGTCTCTTTTGAAAATGAGAATTAGGTTCCTAAGTAATATAAGTGCTTTTGAATTTTTGACCCTATATTTTTGCCTAATTTCTAGTTTCCATGACCTTCCCCTGGGTCATGAAAATTGTTTTTTAAAAAAACTATCATTTTTTTCCCTAGAAACAAATTGCATTTTTCCCACTCTGACTGTGTTAGAAAATAGCCCAATCATTTTTGATGAAACTTTCAGAAAAAAATTCTTTCTGGCTCAGAGCAAGCACACTGAACTTCAGCTGAAAGTGTAAAACTCTGAGAAAGTTATAAGGAACAGAAAATGATCCTTCCTAATGGAAATGCTTAGGCCACCTTAACTATAGGCAGCAGTATATGCACTGCCTCCTGTATGTTTCAGTAACATTATCGCGCTATAAAGCTTGATAGCCAAGTAAGCTTTTTAAACTCAAACACTTGGACTTTCAGTTTGCACTATATATTATGTTTAGTTAAATACATGTATATTCAAGAAAAAACACACACAGTCAGCAATTCTGCATCAGCAGTGAAAAGTAATGAAGATACTAACAAATATTTCCCTGTGTTTGTTTGTTTTATTACTTTAGTGTATTCATAGGGATCTGGCGGCAAGAAACATTCTTCTCACTCATGGTCGAATAACAAAAATTTGTGACTTTGGCCTTGCTAGAGATATAAAGAATGACTCAAATTATGTGGTCAAAGGAAATGTAAGTACTTGACTAGGAAGCATCCTAAATTATCTTAATTACCAAAGAAATCTTTTTCTAAAATTTAGTTATTTTTAAATCCTTAAAATTAGTGGTGCTGTTTTTGTTTGGCTAATTATTAAAATAAGTATTTGTACAAAAATGTTCTAAAAATCAGGTTTTATGGTGTTTGCTTTGTTATAAATATGCAGATAACAGAAATTGTAGTCTAAATGTGAGATATTTATTAAGTAGGACAAAGTGGGAAGCAGAAATAGGCTTGATTTTCACTGGTTCCATATTCTGAGGTTAGCAATTAAACTGACTTTAATTTGTATATGTAACAGACATAATCTGACACTTGCAGTTGTAGATCCAATTTCTCTATCCCAGATACATATGGACTGGAGTGAGATGTGACATTTTGGACCAAAAAAGAAAAGTCAGAATACTCCAATCCAGACTATTCCCAATTACACTAAGATCCCTTTTTGCCAAATCTTAAAGTGAATGCAAATTGCATTTATGCCCACTTTAAGTCCATTCTTAACTGCCAGAGCTGTTAATGGGTCCTTGGTGAAAATCTGAAACATATGGGAATAAACTACAGGAGCATGCTAAGAACTTTCTTTAACATGATTTGTCCAAAGAAAGTCTGGATCTCAAATGTTGTTGTCCATGGCTTTTCCATTATGTTTTATAGTCATACCAATATATATCTATTTATGTCACTTCAAATACATGTGACTTTCCCAGTGATCTCCAAAAACAACCATTTATATTTGTTCAGTTTATTAAAAAAAATTAGGACCTGTGTTCAACAAAATGAACCCCTCAAATTCTTCCTGACTGCTCCACAACCAGAAATCTACCACCATTCACTAGCTATAAATTCATTGCTCCTCACAAGGAAAAGCCCAGGAGAACAAGTGGGCCTGGCAGCGTAAGCTGAAGATACAAAAATTCAAGCTCTGGCAAGCTGACAAGGGTAGAGAATTCCACAGTCCCTCTCACTGAAATTGCCTGTTCCTCCCGAAGAAACCCAATGGGTAATCGCTTAGGTGCCTTCAATACTCTCAACTGCTGTGATGTCCCACAGGGAGAGGCAGTCTCTGAGGTAACCAGAATGTGACCATTTAAGGCTTAAGTGAAGAAGACTGCATTTGTCAGATCGTTTTGGAGATCTGCCCCAGCCATGTGTGCTGTTCCCAAAATTCAGTATAGGGTACAGTTGAAGTCAGAGGAGGAATTCAGCAAAGCAACCGGGCTGGGTTGGTAAAATATCTACTGAGTGCTGCTCAGTGACATTTACAAAGAAACTGAAGTGAAAGGCAAGGTTTAATTTTCAGCCTCGAGTGAGGATCTGCTTGATCACTCGTGCATCAAGGATTTTTAAGTGCAGGCCAGCAGCTTGTGAGGTGGGCAGTAACTAATTACATTTCACTTGTCTAGACTATGCTTTAGGTTGCCCTGAGCTGCTTGACAAAAGGATTTTTCTTAGTCTGAGAAGGTTAGAGAAGGATAGGCAGCAGCTGCTAGGGAAGAAGAGAAACTGGGGCTGCTGTGGGAGGGGCTCCTCTAATTGTGTCTGGCCTGATCTGAAACTCAGCTAAGGCTAGGAGCATTGATGCTTTGAACAATAGTGGCAGCCACTTCTGCTGCAAGTAGCTGCATGAGTATCTGGTTGTTCTAACTCAGCCAAAAATTATTCCAATATCTAACTATTGCAGCTATATATTTCATTTAGTAAACCATCAGTAACTCAAATTGCTCATCTACTCCAACCACATGTTCTTATCGTCACCCATAGCTCTAGGCAGTTGATGGAAAGATATTAACCTTTCCTTTCCCTTCTCATTTTCTTCTCTTCCTCTTATATCCTTTCCCTACTTCCTGCTTCCCTTCCCTACAGGACATCAGGGCTCTTCTAGACAGAGTAGCTATAATATATTTTGGTATACATTGTTTCAACAATGAGTTAGAAGGAAAGGGCTGGGATTCTCCCATTGCAATACCAACATTCTGGGGACAGCGGAAAGGTCGAAGGAATGAGAAGGAAGAAAGGAAATGAATCAAGAGGTTTTAAACACTTTTTTAACCATTTCCTTTTTAGCAGTTTGCATTTTTGAGGGTGTGTGTGTGTGTATTAGAAGCTAAAGCAGCTACCTTGGTTGTCTGCTTGAAAAACTGAAGTGCATCAGAGCAGTGTAAGCATAATAGCCAATCCAAATAAAGAGATATGCATATTCAGAGTCTGATTATTTTAAACAACCATGCCATGTTCATACAAATCCTTGTATTCTGATTGGCTATCATCCATTTTAAATCAGATACAGGGAGTCACACACTATTTAGAAAAACAACTATATAACAGTTATGCAAATCAGACACTTAAACTAATCAGAGTGCAAGGAACGGTATAAATGTAGAAAGCCTGTACAGTGATGGATCAGTAACTGTATGGCATTGCTGCACTCTGACTTGCAGAGAGAATTCCACTTCAGTAATAATATATAAAAAGATAGGTAACCATTATATAAATGTACATTTGATATTATTAAATTTTCTAACCTGCTTGTCTAATTTTTGTTTTCACCTTCATCCCCAACCCCTGCAAAGGCTCGGCTTCCTGTAAAGTGGATGGCACCTGAAAGTATTTTCAACTGTGTTTATACTTTCGAGAGTGATGTCTGGTCTTATGGAATATTGCTTTGGGAACTATTTTCTTTAGGTAAGATATTTACTGATTGAATGTGTACTTTGTATTTCACCTAGAGTTTATTTCTGATTTTAAAATGGCATTGATCAATTAAATGTTGTATCCACAGGAAGCAGCCCCTACCCTGGAATGCCTGTGGACTCTAAGTTTTATAAAATGATTAAGGAAGGATACAGAATGTTTAGTCCAGAATGCGCACCAGTTGAAATGTAAGAGACAAGCTATCACTACTAATCAGCCAATAATTTTTTAAACAAAGGAAGTAAAACTTCCAGATATGGGCTAAATGTACCTTATAACATTGCTTTTTTTTTTCCTTCAAATTTTCCACAGCTGAACTAGCTTTAATTGTATAACACCTGCATACTGTGATCCTTTTATGGTCTAATGGCTCTGTCATGAAAGATATTCTAAGTTACACAAATAGAGATAATACACAGAGCATACTAAACAGTTTCAGTTGATGTAAACTGGTTAAATTGCACCAACTTGTGCAATTCTTGTACTTGTGTTCTACTTCCTGATTGGAATAAGATGGTCCAAGCATCTTTTTTACTAGCCGTTCCCAGTTTAGTATTATTTTCAAATTGTCAATATCAGACCCATTATCTTTAAATAGGTAGTTATCATGCTGTAGCAACTCCTTACGCAGAACTTCCATTACTGTCAAAGGGAGTTCTGCCCACAGAATCTCAGCAGTATTGGGTCCTTAGTATTCATAGCCAATTGGGCTAGTGCTACTATTTCTACTCTTATAAAATTTGTTTAAACAGTTTCACTTAGCTGTGTTTTGAAATTTGGGGATAAGTTGCTATTGTTACACTGTATAACTTCAATCTATTTTAGCCCATACAAATAATAATGGAGTTATAATACAGAAATTATTTCTTGCTGAAATTTCCAGTTAATAATATTTAATTTAATATATTTGCAGGTATGAGATAATGAAGAGTTGCTGGGATGCTGATCCTTTACAGAGACCAACATTTAAGCAAATTGTACAGCTAATTGAGCAGCAGCTTTCAGATAATGCAAACCATGTAAGTATGAGCTTCCATATGGATCTTCAATCTTTAATATTAAATTTCTCAAAAACCTGTGTGATTTAAATCAGACTCTAAAAAGAGAGCAAAAAGTTCAGTGGCCTTTTTATTTATGTACTTTTGCACTATAAATTTTGCCCGTTAGGATGATTTTCAGACTTACCCCTAGCTCTTCACTGTGCCATTCCCTCACAAATGGTATGCTCATACTAACTTTTGAAAACTGTGTGTCTGCATAAAATGAAATAAACACAAGTTAGAGTATGTTTTTGATGTTTTGCATGTTTTTGAAAATGTACGTGCTGTGGCACTGTAGATGTTATAATAAAATATGGTCATAGCTCTTGATTTCTTCATATCTTAAAACACAGAGTAATCTATTTATATGGAATCTCATAATTGTGGATGTATCAGTCAGGAATGTACCTTTTCTTTTGTTTGAACAGCTAAGTGATACACTTTCTGGATTTGGCCTTTCTTTACTTTTTGATCTGTCTGCTCTTTTATTTTATCAGTGAGACATAGGCTCCTAAGTGCCTACGTCACTTTTGAAAATGAGATTTAGGCTCCTAAATCAATTAGGTGTTGCAGTGCTGAGTGAAGCAACACCTACAGAGCTTTAAAAATCTGGGCCCTGGTGCCTGTCACCTGGAATGTAAGTGTTGACAAACTAGCATCTTGCTGTCCTCAGTTCTCTTACTAAGAACTTTGTGGATGGATAAGTGATCAAAAGAGCTTAAAGAAGGAATTATGCCATTTCAGCGACACAGATCCTGCCTTGTGGGGAATGATTTACAGATCTGCACCTAAGGATCATCTGGCCATATATGGGGTTCGAACTTGCTTCTGGGTTAAAAATAAAGGTTCCTTGGAAATTCTAGGTGCCGTGCTTTGACACAAACATGAGTGGCTCCCTGATATGTTGAGAAATGAGGAAACTGAAAACTGCTGGGGTTCAGTTGCTTCCTTTAACATGTTTTTGGCAAACTACAAGGGTTACTGAAACAAAAGCAAAAATTCTGAGGAAAAGTATGAAATTATTGGAGGGCTTTTCAAAGATTCAGATTAAAAGATTTCAAAGATTTCTGTTTAAAATTATCTTACAAAATCTCCTGTCTTTTTTTTTAATAACTGAGTTTCAAGTTCTGATCCATTTTAGAGAACAATTAAATCCAGGCACTCTTAAATTCTATTTCAGGATGTACTTTAATTTCCCAAGGAAACAAATTACCTGGATAGCTGTTATCAGGGCACATTGTAAAACAGAGAAACTAATAGCAACGGTGTATTCTGCTTATATGAAGGAGGCATTCAGTGAAATACTGACAATAGTGTCTGTCTTCTCCAGGCTTACTCAAACTTTTCACCCCATCAAGGAAATGCTGCAGATCACTCAGTGAGGATTAATTCTGTGGGCAGCAGCGCATCATCTACTCAGCCCCTTCTGGTACGCGAAGATGCTTGAAAGAGGAGAGGGACATCTGGACAACAGGCAGCCCAGATGGATTAGGCACTCTTATTCTGCAGGGGACGAGAGAGAGTAGACATTAATGATTTGTCTTACTTTACTCACTACCAAGGTAGTCTGAACATTGCTATAATACTGTCCTTTACCACGCACCATTACACGTAAACTTAGTCCATCCACCACAGCCATTGTTGCAGTGTTGACTGAAGCTGTATATACTTTGCTATATTGTATGTTTTTGCAGTAGGGAGTCATATAAACAAAAATCTAAATCTTAAACCTGGGTCTGGAGCTAGATGAATACAAACCAAACCAACTATTAAACAGTCCATCTCTAGATCTGTGCCTGGAAAGCTAATAGTCATTTTCTGATTGCTTGATTGTTGGGGATTTTTTGCTACATTTCTGAAATAAATAAATACACATACAAATAGCTGCTTGCAAGTGGCCAAGTCTAAAACCCTACAAATGTCACAAGCAGGTGTTCTGAATTGGATGCCATGAGAAGAGGGTACCATGTGGACATGGAGAGGGGTGGGAGTGAACAGAATAACATCTCCCCCCCTCCAACCCCCCCAAGCACCTCAGCCTGTGCATCCACTAGACCACTGAAGGACTCTGCAATTAGGGAGGGCTTTCCAGACACCTGGGGAAGGAGAGCATTGTGGAGCTTCTCTCCCCTTCCCTCATGTCTAAGGTTAAGATTCTGTCATGGGTATTTTTGGTAAAAGTCAGGAACAGGTCATGTGCAAATTCACAGAAGCCCATGACCTGTCCCTGACTTTTATTCAAAATAGCTCTGACAAAATAGGGTGACAGGGGGATGAGAGCCCAAGCCCTGCTTCAGGTTGGGGAAAGGGGGGTCCAGCACCCACTGCTTCAGCTGACAGCTCTGGGGCCCCTTGGCGCCCACAGTGGCTCAGAGCTCCAGGGTCCTTCTGCCTCCCACAGTGACTCGGCGCTCCATGGCCATAGGCTTGGAGCTCTGGGTATTCCTGACACCAGCAGCTGCTGAGAGTTGCAGGGGCCCTCACCACCCACAGCAACTGAGAGCTGTGGTTTAGAGTTCCAGGGTCCCAGCTGGCTGACAGCTCCAGCCCTGCTCACCCCAGGGCTGAAGGGAAATGTCACGGAGGTCTCTGGAAGACACAGAATCCATTACTTCTGTGACCGCTGTGACATAATCTTAGCCTTACTCGTGTTCCAGCCCATGTTTCACACAGTTTTCATTCCAAGCAAAGAGTGTGGTGTTGCAGGGTGGAAGGGGAGAAGTACATGCTTGGCTAATATTTGTATCTTAAAAATGGACAAAAAATGTGTAAGAGAATAATCTCTTTCCATAGCTGTAGTAGTTTGATCTGGGTACAGAGGAGACGTTTATAGTAGGATCCACATACCTTAAGGACAGGCAGTTAATTTTTCACCTTATTTTAAAAAAAGAGCACAGTCAAAGAATTCTTTTTTCCAGAGGGCCCCTTGTTTTCATACACAAGTGTAAATTTCCCACAGATGAGCCCACGTACCGTAACTTGGGAAAGGCTTTGTTCTCGATCCCTTTCTCTTTCCAGCTGAATATTATATGATGGTAAAATTAATAAGAGGAAAAGATTATTAATTGGGAAACATTGGATCTTAATGTAGCAGAACACAAAATATAGCTTCAGCCTTATTTTACAGATATGTAGATGTTGGGTTACAATATGTTTTTTTAAAAATACTAGCCCTGAGCCCAAGACTCTGCTTAAGTGTCCGAAACAACCATTTTTTCCAGCACAAATACTGCTAGTTCGTCTCTTCCTATATTCCTGTCAAGTATAAATCAGCAAAAACATTGAAAGAAGCATATAGGAGGCAGTACTACTTAAGTACCTATTTATTTACAATGCGCCTGCACTTAAGCACTCTGTTATTTATACTCAACATACCAGTCAGTCTCGTTGTTTTGAGTTTACATTTACTTTTTATGTATAACTAACTGCCCAAAACAAGATAGCTGTAAATGCACACACTGGTATTATAATTTTAATACCACACGTTTTCATACTTTATTTTATACAACCATGTATTTGGTATATAGTTTTAGAAATTTGTTAACCAATCTTAAAATAGCCATTTGCACTGGACCTATCTATGCTGTTGCACCTTTCTAAAGTTAGCCAGTTGTTTGGGGGCACACTTATGCATATCATACTTGTTGTTGAGCATTATTGATTCAATGCTATGAAAATTCTTTTGTAGTGTGCTGGCTTTCAGAGCTATTGTAGACAGTCTAGTTGGTATAATTGTAGGTGTCTCGGTACTTTGCGGGCACTTAGCTGAAAGAATTTTTGGTCTCAAATATTCTTTAAATTTATATTTTTATAATTTGGGTTTTTTGAAACTTATTTTGCAGTGACTTGATGTTTTAAAGTGGTTTTACGCATTTTTTTTTGTAAATATGGAAATGTAGCAATAATGTCATTTTGACTAGTCTCAGTCCTTGAGTCACAAAAATATTTTTATATATATATAGAGAGAGAGATGCAAAAACCATATGTATAAATAATGTATGTGTTTGAAAGTTTATGAAACACTTTTGGATATGTTGTCCAGTTGTAGAATTGCAGTTCTAAAGAGTTCAAATAAAAATGTAAATAAATATTCCTATGCTACTGATGTGTAATATCTTAAAATGTAATATTTCTTTTAGTTATAAATCTTAATAAAGTCTTGGGTGGATGCAAAACCACAGTATCTGGATCTGCAGAGGCGAAGTTTGGAATTCTGAAATATTTTTGAATATGTGTACTATGACACTAACAATCTATTGATGCTTCTCTGGAGACCTCTATACGTATAAATAGATTAGATCAGCATGTGAAAAACTTTAAGAATCTGTGCACGCAGGGTTGTTTTGGTATCCATGAGTGGAAGTATTTTGCTGCTAAAGAATTGGTCCACAATACATATTTTATTGGTCAGAGTAATTTAAAGTGAGATAAAATGTCAAAATGTTGCAATAAGTTTAGAAGTATGCTGCTGTGAGTAGTACCATTTAAGCACATGCTTAGGCCCCAATTCAGCAAGGTATTTATGAGCTGAATGATCCCTTAAACCAAAGTGTTGAGGGACATGTGATATAGAAATAAGTTTTAATTTACTTCCATTTCCTATTTCAGTGAAATCATTATGATTCATCATTTTGTTACCTCACTGATCAGTGGTATTATTAATGTTACAGAATTATGCATAGTGGGCTGTCTGTTATAATGAGCCAGGAAGTGGAGAAAATATGTTTTGTGGAGTCCGGGATGGAAAACAAGTTGTAACTTGTAACTGTGATGCATGTTCAACACGGGTTAGTGCAGGCTGTCATGGTTCAGAATATGATTTTTTTCACTGAAATCACAGATTCTGTGACTTTAACGAGCTGCGTGACTTCTTCGGCTTCAGCCCTGGGCATAGGAGCCGGGGCTGGAACAGCGGCTAGGGCTGGGTCTGGGTCAGTCCCCAGAGTTGGGTCAGACCCCAACAGCTGGGGCTGGGTCAATCCTCGGGGCTGGGTCAGTCTCTGGAACTGTAGCAGCCCCGGTAGCTGGAGCAGCGACCAGAGCTTGGTCAGTCCCCAGGGCTGGGTCAATCCCCAACGGTTGGAGCAGTATCTGGGGCCAGAGCAGCCCTGATGACGAGCAGCGGCTGGGCCTGGAGCAGCGGCCAGAGCTGGGTCAGTCTCTGGGACTGGGTCAGTCCCCAGTGGCCAGAACAGTAGTTGGGGCTGGGTCAACCACCAGGGCTGGGTCAGCAGCCAGGACTAGAACAGGACCTTGTCAGCTGGAACAGTGGCCGGAGCTGAAGCAGCCCCCACAGCTGGAGCAGTGGCTGGGGGTGAGTTAGTCCTCTAGGCCGCTGGAGCAGCGGCTGGGACTGGAGCAGCTGCCAGCGGTCAGCCCTTGGCACCAGGTTTCGGACTGTTAGTCCCTTCCCACCCGGGTATTTTTAGTAAAGGTCAGGGACAAGTCATGGGCTTCTGTGAAATTTTGTTTATTGCCCGTGGCCTGTCCCTGACTTTTTTACTAAAAATACCCACGATGAAATCTTAACCTTAGTCATGGTTATAGAACCAGCTGCAACTCTGTGACCCATCTGGTCTCTGAGTGCATCCCCACAGGTGCCAGGCCTCATACCTTTACTTCTCTGGGAGTGATCTTGAATCCAGCCAGGAGATAGAATATTGTTGGATTCAAGATGTAGAATTTGTAAAGCTAATAGTTCGGGCATTGCCTCTTAACACTTAAGTGGTTACCAAGGGGTGTCTGAGCCTGAGCCATTGCTTCCCTTCTGGGTTGTTTTTCCTACCAACCTTACTACTAAAGTAAACCAACCAATGTATGCAGTAAACATCTCAATAATCAGATCAATATACAATATTTATAAATTATTACAGCGCAGCTCTAATTATGTTGCAGAGGTAATTCACGTATTTCTGGGCTTAATGTATCATTAATTTGTATTTTTGAAAAAGAGCCTAGACTATTGTGTCAAGGCTCTTTGTCCAATGTAGAAAATCAGCCAGATTATGTTCATATTCTGGAGACTTCAGCATTTACCACCTCCCCTACTATCCACGATCACATGAACAAATTCCCTTCCCACTGGTGATTGAATAACTTTCCTGTGTCAGCTATAGCAATTGCTTACATGGAAAGTGTATTAGGAAAGTGTTTAATGTGGTTTTTATCTATCATTTAATGCAACTGGAAATAAGGAGGAAGAGTCACCACCATGTGACCAAACTTTGAGAATCTCACTTGTAATAGGGTTACCATATGTGGAGTGTCCCAAAAGAGGATACTCCACGGGGCCCCGCCCCGCCCACGCCCCCCCGCCCAAACTCCACCCCCTCCCCCAAAGTCCCCGCCCCAACTCCGCCCCCTCCCCTGCTTCCTGCGAACATTTGATTCGAGGGAAGCAGGCAGCAGGTAAGGGGAGGGGGGAGGGAGGTGAGGCGGCGCGGC